GGGCGGGGCGGAGGTGACGCATGCGCTTCCGGCGGGCGTGGGCGGGGCTTCGTGCCTACTTCCTGGGAGATCAGCCGACCGCATGGAAGGTATGTGAGAGCTTCTGGTTTCCCCGGCTCGGGAGGCTGTGCCCAAAGCCCGGGGGTGGCGGGTTGCGGGGCCCGTGAGGCGTGTATTGCCTTGACGCTGGACGGGAGAGTACCCAGGAGTGTGAGTCGTGCTAGTCACTGCCCGTTATTAACGGAGCACGTTGGTGCACGCGATGCCTCCGCCCCTCCAGCCGCGTGCGCTCGGTTCCGAGTTAGCTGCCGCCGAGCTGTGAGCGCTCACTGCCGGCCGAGTAGTGTCCCCGACAGGACTTCAGGCGGCTCAGCTCATTTCCTCACAATGATCCTGGGCATTTATAAGGGCATTTGCCCTCCAGTCAGATCACGAATTCCATGATAATTACGGTTGTTTTACACCCTATCAGCAAAGACTCTTGGAATTGCAACACCCAGAAAACCTGTCTTATCCGTCAGTGCAAGAAAAATTAAAGACAATGCAGCCGATTGGCATAATTTAATCTTGAAATGGGAAACCCTCAATGATGCAGGTTTTACCATCGCAAGTAACATTGCCAACCTGAAAATCAAGTTATTGTAAGTACATACAGAGTTCATGCTCTGAGCTTTTCATCCTTGATTGGGCAGAAGGTTCCTGAGGTTTCTGTTTGTTTTAACTTTTGGTCCAGTGTGTGCACCTGTCCAGAATCCCAAGAGGAGAATGGAGGAGAAGGAATTGTGGGGTGGCTTTCCCCCTGGGGGGGGGTGGTGATTTCTCGCTTTCTGTCTCTGTTGAGTACATGCACCCTATGGCAAAAATCTTTCAAAAAGGAAAGAAAAAAAAGTACTTCGTATGCTTTCAGCCTTCTGCTCTTTTCCTGGTGGGAGCCTGCTCTGCGAGCACCATGAAACCATTCTTTTTTTCTGTACTACCTCAGATGCCTTCCAATTTTCTATTCTGTTTTCATGTTAAATTTTTTCCCAAAACGTTGATTGCAACCCTGTTAGGTTATTTTATGCCTCATGGGTCATAGCCATCAGTTAGAAAACATTCCTAAATTGTGAACTCTTTGAGGAAGTGAGGATTATGGTCATGCCACAGTTCTTTTTCTCCATCTCTCCAGCCTGTCAAGATTGCGGTGCACATGCACCTGACATATTTTGCTAGCCACTGGGTGCAGGGTTTGAACCATAGTTGGCCATGTGGGAGCTAGCTCCCAGTACACAGTGCTTGACCGTTGTGTTATGGGGTGGACCTGAGAAAAGTATATGCTACACCCATTTTCTGTTTTGTCTAGGAGTAAAGACGAGGCAGAATTAGAGGTCAGCAGCCCAGCACCCAGCGAAAATGAAGAAGAGGCATATCCAGAGTATAATAAGGAACTTGAGATGCTGTGTGAGGAATTGCAGACCACCTTGGATAGTTTGGTAAGGTGGACATTGGACACCTGTGGTCACTGCCACTGAACCTGATGGCCACATTTGGGGTTTGCATGACCATTGCAGCGTTAGTGCTGTTGGCGATTCCTTCTTTGCCTTTTCTGATGATCCCTTCCTCTGCCTATCCCACAGAGCTCAATGTTTCCCAAATACTGTTCCCAACACTCGCTCTTTGTCCTCTGCGTTGCCCAGGGCAATCACCCACGTCCAGGTCTCTGCAGCGCAGCTGTTTGAGGCTTTTTGGGCCAGGCCAGCTCTCACACCCACGTGACTGCCGTGTAGCACTAAAGCAGCCATAGACAGCACATAGGTGAGCGGACGCAGCTGTGACCCTGTCACAGTGACACTTCTTTAAGGTGTTTCAGTGATACTTACTTTGTGGACACTGAAATGAGAATTTTACGTAATTTTCTCTTTTTTTTGGAGAAGTTTTTGCTATAGGGCGTTGCACTCGCCAAAAAGACAGAGACAGAAAGTGAGAAATCACCCCATAGGGGGCATGGCTGTGCCGCAATCCCATCTCCATTCTCCTCTTGGGATCTTGGGCATGCATGCATATGCACTCAGCGTGAGTTTAAGCCACCGGGTCCAGGACTCGAACCACAGTCAACTACACAGGAGTCCAGCGACATAGCCATTATGCCATCTACTGGTCCCGTAATTTTCTTTTTTAATTTACCAGAGAGCACATAGACTCACTCACTACAGGGAGAGACAGAAGGGAGTGTGGGATGTGAAAGCACCCCTTGTCGGACATAGTCACACCGCAGTCCCTTCTATTTCCTCTCTGGATTCTGGACATGCCCTGCATTTTTTCAAGCTGCTTATTCCAGGTTTCCAGGTTTAAACTGCATGTTCATTTGTGGGTTCCAGCCACCTTAACCACTAGGCCACAGGCTGGCCCTCATAAAATTTTCATGTGTCACAAAATATTATTTGGCTTTTTTTTTTTTTTGAAAGGTTTTTGCTATAGGGAGTGTGCACAGAAGAGAAAGACTGAAAGAGACAGAGAGACAGAAAGTAAGAAATTATCCCCCCGGGGGGGAGGTGGGGGACGGCCATGCCACCCACAATCCCTTCTCCATTCTCCTCGTGGGATCTTGGGCACGCATGCACACGTGCCCGGCATGAGTTTAAGCCACTGAGTCTGGGACTCAAACCACAGTCGACTACGTAGGAGTCCAGCGACATAGCCATTGCACCAACTGCTTGTCCCAAATTTTTGCCCCCCCCCCCAACCATTTAAAAATGTAAAAACCGACCTCATGGCCAGGTGGTTGAGGCATCTGGATCCCATATGGTTGACTGTACAGTTTGAGTCCTGGACCTGGTGGCTTATGAAACACACAGTACGGGGGGCCTCATAGGTAGGGTGGTGGTTAAGGGCTCTGGACTCCCACATGGCCAATTGCAGTTCAAGTCCCAGACCTGGCAGCTTACTTTTTCACTTTGTTTCTCTCTCTCTCTTTTCCTCTCTGGTCAAATTTAAATAAGTAAATAGATAAATATCAATAAAATAATTCTTTAAAAAAAGAGACTAGCTGTTAAAAAAAAGAAAATTAAAGAAACACACAGGACAACTATGCATAAGCTCTAAATCCCGAAGGAAGGAGAAATGGAGAAGGGATTGCAGCATGACCATGCCCCACAAAGGGGGGCTTTCTCCCCCTCTCCGTCTCTCTAGCGAGCACACACACCCTCTCACCAATTAAAAAAAAAATAAAGGTTTTCTTCTTTCATTCCATAAAAGTAGCAAGAGCCTGCCTGAGGATTCTTCCAGGTCAGTGGGACAAAATGTCAGTACTATTTGGAAATCTTGGCAAAGTGAGACTTGGGAGGCTTTCCAGGGTTTATTGCCAGTGTAATCCAGATGAATAAAATCCTAACCGCTGCCCGCCTTGGTCTCCCTGGGGCTTTGTTGTACATGGAGTTAACAGTGTGTAGTTATTGGAATTTTGATCTCAGTAGACTGAGAGTTTTTAGCTTTGAAATCTTAGAGTTACTGAATTGGAGTCTGGAGATTTCAAATAATATTCTTATATTCTAAATTAGTATCTTTTCAGACCAAAATACAGGTGAAAATGGAAAAACTGTCTTCAACTACCAAGGGAATTTGTGAACTGGAAAATTACCACTGTGGGAAGGAGAGCAAACGGCCCCCTCTGTTTCACACGTGGCCCACAGCCCATTTTTGTAAGTAGTCCTCTGTGAGCTCATTTTCAGGAGGGTAGAGTCATACAAGCTTTTAGTATCTTTTAGATCTGGAACTTTAAGAAGCTGACAAGGCTTTAAATGGAATGCATAAGGATCCATCAGGAGGAAAGCAGACGCGGCATCCTAAAACGAGCATTCCTGGGACCAGCAGTCACATAACGGTTACCTCCTTAGACTCCCACATGGCCGACCACAGTTCAAGTCCCAGAATCGTGTGCTTGTGTGCCCAAAATCCCGAGAGGAGAATAGAGAAGGGATAGTAGTGGGGCCGTTCTGGAGGGCTGATATCTCACTTTGTATCTCTCTGGGAGCGCACAAGCCCTACAGCAAAAATCTCTCTTTTTTTTTAAATTTTATTTATTCATTTTAATTTGACAGAGACACACAGAGAGAAAGAGAGAGGGGAAATGAGAAAGCAAGCCACAAGGTCCAGGACTTGAACCGTGGTCTGCCATGTGGGAGTATCCAGCACTTTAACCACCACGCCACCTGCTGATTCCCAGCAAAAATCTCTCTTTAAAAAAAAAAAAGCATCCCTTCTTGGCTTTGATTGCCTGCCCATTAGCAAGAGTATTTAGCATGACCAGAGGCACATGAAACAAGCTGCCACCATTAGCCCTTTAAAGCCAGTGGGTACAATGAATTCTGTCTCCTGTATAGGCAAGAATCTAATTTTTTTCTTTTTTTATACAAATAAAGGGCTTTCAGGGTTTTTTGTTTTGTTTTGCATTTTGTTTTAATTTAAAAAATAAATGAAGAGGGACCAGCAGGTGGCATAGTGATTAAGGCACTGGATTCCCACATAACAGACCATTGTTCAAGCCCCAAACCCAATTTTTGAGTGGCTTAAAAATCATGCCACTAGACGTGTGTGCCCAAAACCTGGGAGGAGACTGGAGCAAAAGGGATTGTGGTATGTGATTTCTCATTTTCTCCCCGTCTCTGAGCACACATGCGCTATAGCAAAACTCTAAATAAATAAATAGAGGTTACTTCAATGGATGAAGACTACTGGGGAAATAAAACTTCTTAAATAAGCTCTAGAAGATGCTTCTTAAAGGGTTACTTCCCCCCCTCCCCCAGAGGTTTTTGCTATAGGGCGCATGTGGTTGAGAGACGGACAGAAAGTGAGAAATCATCTCCCAGGGGAGATGGCCATGCTGCAATCCCTTCTCCTCTATTCTTCTCTTGGGATTTTGGGGAGGCACACACACATGCCCGGCACAAGTTTAAGCCACTGGGTCCGGGACTTGAACTGCAGTCAACTATATGGAAGTCCAGCCACATAGCCATTGTGCCATCTGCTGGTCCTAGGCCCCCTTTGATGCTAGTTTTTAGCACAGAGCTTTTCAAAGTGTGGTTCATTCAGAGTCGAGGGTCTGTCCATGAGTCCCTGCTGTTAACGGGAGACTTGTGTTTATTTCAGATGAGGTCTCCCGCAGGCTCGCAGACATGTATAGGAGTGAGCTCCTGCTAAAGCGCACAGTGGTTGGAGAGCTCGCGCACACCACCAGTCATGACCTCACCCTGAGCTACCTGGCAATGTGGCTGCACCAGCCCTACGTGGAGAGTGACAGCAGGCTGCTCCTGGAAGGCATGCTGCTTGAAACGGGGCACCGAGCCCTGTGAATCCCCCCAAAGCAGCATCATGTGAAGTCTGCCTCCAGGCTCTGGACCACAGGCTGCTTCTGTCTCCCCAAAAGTGGGAGGACATAGGACTCGAGGCTGCCCCCCCAGGATCAGACCTTTCTGTCTACCGTGGCCATCCATAAGTCTTTGGGGTCTGAGGGCAGGATTGTCTCACCAGCTCCCTCCAGCTTTGCCTTGTGTTAGGCCTCTGCCATCAGTTGGTGTCATGGAACATACTGTGACTGTCACTTGTGGGTGGTTCTCTGTAAGATAAAGGAATTCCTGAACAAAGTGATGGTTTTGTAAATTAGGTGTAGAAAACTGGCTAGCTCTGTGGCCTGGTGGTTAAGGGAGTTGGATCCCACATCGTTGACCATTCAGTTCAAGTACCAGCCCTAGCAGCTTGAAAAGCAAGTTGGGCCCATGTGTGTGTGCTCAAGATCCCGCCAGGATGGAGAAATGGAAGAGAAGGTATTACTGTGACTATGGCCTGCTGGAGGGAGCTTCCTCCTTCCCTCTCTGATGAGTGCATGCATCCTCTGGCAAAATTTTAAAAAGAAAATCCCCAGGTTAATATTTTACTTTATACCTATCTGTATTGCTTAAGTTTTTATGAGGATGTATTAGTTTTGTAATTATCAGTGTGTAAAGCCTCATGGAGGGGCTGGATGGTGGTGCAGCAGTAACACGATACTCCTTGAGGCGGACCCACACCTGAAAGTACGTGGAGACCTCCCTGAGTGCACTGGATATGCGTGTGCCCATGACATGGGCCTGGCTGAGCTGTGGGTTGATCATGGTGTTGAAGTCTCTGTTGGGAGTGATTGTCTCTCTCTTTGTTCTTGGAAGAAAGAAATCTCATGAAGTTAACAGTCAAGTTTGATGTCGTGAAAATGAAAACTACCTACAAGAATATTGCCATAGTCCCACCCTGGGCATATGAAGGCCAGATGAAGTCCCTCCCGTGTCATTATTCCAGCACTGTCATATAGCCAGGCAGTGATCACACCATTTCCAAGGTTAATACATCACGTCAGGTTAAGGGAGTGCCAGTTCTGAGACCTGGTGGTAAGAAGAAAAAGGGAAGAGTAACTGTTTATGACTACAGAGGCTGGCTAGAACCAGTGTGAAGAAAGCACGAGGTACCAGGAGCCCACCTCGGCCTGGCCTTTCCTGTTGGAGCTGCTTGTTGCACTGCATCTGTTCCCCTGTTTAGTGAGTTCTCTGATCCCAAGGTGTTTATACTCCATGGGCCTGTGTGTGTGTAGTATATTTAATAAATAATGGTTTTTAATTGCGCCCCTTTTTTAAAATATTTGACCATTAAAATACTGCTTACTGGGGCCAACAGGTGGCGTGGTTAAAGTGCTATACTCCCACATGGCTAACAGTGGTTCCACCCCTGGACCTGGCATTTTTTCTCACTTTCCCTCTCTTCTCTGTTTCTGGTGAGCACACATGCCCAGTAGCAAGTTAAAAAATAATTGGGACCAGCAGATGGCATAACAGTTACGTCCCTGGATTCCCACATAGTTGACCACAGTTAGAGTCCTGTACCTGTACCGGCTTAAAACTCGCTGGGTGCATGTGCATGCATGCCCAAAATCTCCAGAGGAGAATAAGATTATGGCCACCCCCTTGGGGGGTGGGTGATTTCTCACTTTCTATTTCTCCAGCCAGCACACAACCCCTGTAGCAAAAATCTCTCTCAGAAAAAATTATTTTAAAAGCACTGCTTATTGGAGCCAGCAGGCAGCATGGTGGTGGTTAAGGGCGCTGGACTCTCACATGGCTGGCTGTGGTTCAAGTCTCAGGCCTGGCAGTTTGTTCCCTCTCCCATTCTGTCCCTCTCCAGTCAAAGTTAGATAAAAATTCTTTTGTTCAAAAACCTGTTTATTGAAGGTTTGGGTTTTTTTTTTTTTTTTTTGCTTATTAAAGTTTATCAAGACTTTTTGCTTTGTTTTTTTTTTTTTTGGAGAGGTTTTTGCTGTAGGGTGCGTGTACTTGCCAGAAAGACAGAGAGACAGAAAGGGAGACATCACCCCCATGGGGGGATGGCCACGCCGCAATCCCTTCTCCGTTCTCCTCTCAGGATCTTGGGCACACATGCACATGCGCCCAATGTGCGTTTAAGCCACTGGGTCCAGGATGCAAACTGGATGACTACATGGGAATCCAGTGACATAGCCATTATGCCAACTGCTGGTCCCAGGTCCTAAGACTTTTAACGTTAACTCAATAAATAGGACTTTGTATGTACAATTTATAGCTAGGAGGACCTCAGGAAACTACCTCCTAGTTCGTTCTTTTTCTAGCCAGGGTAACATGGCAAGCCAGGCGTGCAGTCCAAGGTCCAGCTGTATGTGGCCATCCCCAGATTTGTTTATTTCACCCCAATTGAGTCCATAGGAGCAGTCCCTCATCTATTATTTTTATTCATGAGCCAAGAGTGCGTGCCCAAGCACAAGAGAGAGGCCCCCCAGAGACTCCCATCATGCCATGGTCCCCTTCTCACATCCCTCCAGCTCACCAAGGTCTTGGACACATTTGCGCTGGGCGTGTTTTCTGGTTAATTTGCAGTCCAAGCCCGTGGCTGTCCCCATGAGTTCAGATGCGGCAGTTCAGTATGCCACTCCCTACACCATGGAGGCTGAGCCTCTGTTTCTATTCATTGTTTTGCTAAATGGCTATACCCAGTACTGCTCAGCCCGGTTCTTGGCACGAGGGGCTCAGAAACAAGTTAGCCATGAAGTCCTGCACACTTTCTGACCAGGGCTGAAGACAGACTTGCACTACGACACAGGCACTTGTCATGGTCACACCACAAAACGTGTGTAGGAGGGGCAGGCATGAGATTTCTCTTTGCTCTGCCTTTGCTGCAATTACTAAAATCTATCATAAAAGTGGGCGTCCTGGAGCCTGTGCAGGCGGTGCTCAGCTGGAGTGCTGTCCCCAGCTCCCTGCTGGCTCAGCAGCAGCCTGTCCTTACCAGCTGCAGGGACAGATGGCCTGAATGGGGCCCCAGGAGGCCCCGCTCCCCAGCTGCCCACCTGCAAAGGTCCTGGGATGAGGGCATCGGCTGCACATTGGGGGACATCCACAGAGTAACACTGCAGAAGATACTAGGGTTTTGTCCCATCAACAGGCTTCTAGGACATCCCACCGTTCTCAATGATGTACTCTGTGGACACCCATCAGAGAGTTGCTCAGGGAGCTGATGGGAAGGGTCATTTACTGCAGCAGCCCCAAGTGGAAGCTGAGTAGTGAGCGAGAGCTGTGAGTGCCCAGAGCTATTTCCATCCGAAAGAACAGCAAAATATCCTGCGGGAATTTGAGTTCTCTCTGGACACCTGCCACAGGGACAGGAAAGGAGTATGGAGAGCTAGAAATCCACAAAAATACAGAACAGGACAGGACTGGGCAAGGGTTTGGGGATGAATTCATGGCACACACACACACACACACACACACACACACACACGGCTCTCGGGAAGCAGGATTTGCATGTCATAAATAATAATGTGACTCCTCCACTGTGTTTTTTTTTAATGCTAGAGAACATGTGCACTTGTCAGAGAAGGAACCCCCATACCCCCATGGTGTGGTCGGTACCAATCCCTTGTCCCCGCTTCTCCTCTCGGAATTTGGGGCACTTGTGTACGTACATCTGTGCCCAGCTTGTCTCCCAAGCCATGGAGTCTGGAACTCAAACCACATGGTTGTTCATGTGGGATCTGACTAACCATTAAGCCACAGGGCTGGCCCTGGCTGCCACGTCGATCAGACCAAGCTGAGCAGCCGCTCATGCTGTTTACCAAACATTGCTGGCGTCCTGGGGAGAGCCTACACTTCCAGTTGGGTGAGACAGACCAGGTTGCTACTCCCGACCGGCTTGAGCTTCTCTGGGGCTCTCCCTCTGGCATGGCCATGAGCAGTGTTTGTGATGTGGCTCTCCTGGCCTGTGTCCCCGACCTGGCTATAACAGGCAGAGCCCTCCCACCACGTGAGGGACACGTTACATGAGCAGGAAACACGTGCATCCGTTGTATGAACGGCTGAGGCTCAGCAGTGAGGCCGTCAGAACAGCATCATCAGATTGATCTATGACACTTTTTTTTAAGGTTTTTGCCATAGGGCACACGCACTTGAGAGAGGGAAAGATCATCTCCCTGCCCCTCAGGATTTGGGACACACGCACACCTGTACCTGGCATGATTTTCAAACCCCCAACTCACATTGCAGCTGGCTAAGTGGGACTCTAGCACCTTACTCACTACACTGCCTGTTGGCTCCACTCTACAATACTTTTTTGTTTTTTAGAAAGATTTTTGCTATAGGGCATGTGTGCTTGCCAGAGAGAGACAGAAAGCGAGAGACCAGCAGTTGGCATAATGGCTATGTCACTGGACTCGCGGTAGTTAAAAAATTATTCCCTTCAGCTGTACAAAGAAAAGTATCTCCTTCTTCACAGGTGGATCAGAAAAAGGGATGATCTCAGAGAGTCTTAAAATATTAGAATATTTCAAAACTGTAATTCTAGGCCTATCTAAACTTCCAGGGATGGTGGAGACAAAGGGAAAAGTAGGAGTTGCCCCTAAAAAAAAAAAGTAAAAAAAAAAAAAAAAAGAAAATAAAAAAAAAAAAATAGAGACAGAAAGCAAGAAATCACTCCTCGGGGGGCGGTGGCCATGCTTCCGTCCCTTCTCTGAGGATCTTGGGCACACACACGCACCCAGTGTGAATTTTAAGTTGCTGGGTCCGGGACTCAAACTGCTGTCGACCGTGGGAGTCCAGTGACCTAACCATTACACCATCTGCTGAGCGCTCTCCAACACTTTTGGCCACCCAGGGAGGCGGGTTTTGGCAGAGACTCTGGCGGTCTTCTCTCAGCTCTTCACTCCATGTCCATGTCTTCTGGCACAAGTTTCCCCAGCTAGGAGCAGGTTTCAGAAGCTTCTCTGCAGCCAGCCTGCTCACTGCTGAGAGGTGAGCAGACGCCATGTGTGCAGCTTCTAGAACATGGTCCTGAGCATGTGTCCCCTCTGGACCTTCTCACCTTTTAAGAGACACGTGGGCATGTCAGAGTGCTGAGCCTTCTTCCTCCCTGGGGACAAGGGCTCACCCCGGGTGGGAAGCAGCCAAGGTCTGGACCACCCATGGAGCGAAGCCACCAACTTCCTGAAGGCCCACCAGCTCATGCTTTCCTCTGAGAGAAAGAAGTCCTATCTGGTCACGGTCCTTGTGTTCATCTATCGCCATCAGAGCAACCTGCTGATCACCAGGTCAGTGGGAGGAGGGGCCACATGCCGTGGGGCAGCGATGACAGTGGGTACATGGGATGTGCTCACCTCCCGTAAGTCGGTACCTAACGCTGAAAGCTGGGAAGTCAGCTTCAGTTGAGGCTGGCTGAGGCTGCTGGATTCCACATGGCAACCGTACGGTTTGAGTCCCAGACCAGGCAGCTTGAAAAACATGCTGGGCACATGTCATGGTACCCAGAATCCTGCAAGGAGAGTGGAGGAGAAGGGACTGCAACGTGCCCCCCCACCCCAAAAGGTGAGTCCTCACTTTCTCTCTCTGTTTCTGGCAAACTCATGCATCCCATAGTAAAACTAAGACAAAGGGTTTTTGTTTGTTTGTTTGTTTTTGAGAGGTTTTTGCTATAGGGCGCGTGTGCTCACCAGACAGAGAGAGACAGAAACCGAGAACTCACCCCCCCAGGAGGGATGGCCATGCCGCAATCCCTTCTCCTCCATTCTCCTCTCGGGATCTTGGGCACGCACACACACGTGCCCAGCGTGAGTTGAAGCCACCGGGCCCAAGACTTGAACCATGGCCGGCTACATGAGAGTCCAGCAACATAACCATTGTGCCAACAGCTGGTCCTGAAAAAGGATTTCTATCATCACAGTTAGTGATGATTAGCAGTAAACCAACATGGACAAGGTGCCAGGCATTTTTTTTTTTTTTTTAAAGAATTACTTATTTTAATTTGACTGGGGGGGAGGGGGAGAGAATGAGAAAAAGTGAGAAAGCAAGCTGCCAGGTCCAGGGCTTGAAGCGCGGTCGGCCACGTGGAAATCCAACACTCTTAACCACCATGCCACCTGCCGGCCCTCAGGCATGTTCATAAATGCCAGGCTTGTCCTCGTTGAAGCCTCACACTGGCTGCTCCGTAGGAGTCCATTGGGACTTGTCCCTGAGTCTGTGTGCTCTAGAGGCTCATTGCTCCTACTCCTCCTCTGGGACTTTTTGGTTGGTTTTCAGTTTTTTGACATAGGACACATATGCTCACCAGAGAGAGCCAGAGAATGGGAAAGTGAGAAATCACTCCCGGGGGGATGGCCACACCAAAATCCCTTCTCCTCCATTCCCCTTTCAGAATTTTGAGTGCATGTGCACACACATCTAGCGTGATTTTCAAGCTGCTGGGTCTGGGACTCCAACCATGGTCAGCCATGTGGTAATCCAGCACCTTAACCACCATGCCACTTGCTGGCCTCCTAATCTGATTTTTTTTAAAGAATTATTTTATTTAACTTTATTTATTTATTTACTTGCTTGCTTGCTTATTTATTTATATTCAACCAGAGGGAGAGAGTGAGAAAGCAAGCCGCCAGGTCTGGGATTCAAACCACGGTCAGCCATGTGGTAGTCAAGTGCCCTTAACCACCAGGCCAACTGCCGGCCCCAATCTGGTCATTTTAAATAAGTACTGAGCATACAAAATAAAGTTCTTCACGGGAGAAGGAGACCTCTGCTTATCTAACTCCTACGTGGCTGGGCTGTCTCTTAGTAGTGCCGTAATGGGGAGGCGGTACAGTACCTGTCTGCAGAGGCCCCCCTGATGCGGATGGCACCAGGCTCCCTGAGACCAGGGCTCCCTGCAGAGTCCCGCGCCTGGCAAATGCAACGCTCCACGAGCACGTTCCAGTTCACGAGTATCCAGCTGTCGAGCCTCCCATGTTTCCACTGTACCGTGGAAGGAGGGGACTCAGCACCTCAGCTAAATTCATGTCCATGCATAGCACACACTGGTGAAAACAGGATGTGTGGGATAGTCACCTGTGTCCTATAAATAGAAAATAAGAACAGGGCCTTGTCAAGACAATGGTCAGGTCTGACTCAGCTTGAGTGATATTTGCTGCCAGAACTTATGAAAGGTTCTCAGGAGGGGCCTCCACCCAAATCCCAGGACCCCAGGCAGGGACTCATGGTGGTTCTCTGGGTCTCTGGGTTCCGAGATGTGGGCAGGTTCCCAGGACCTGACTAGCCTGAGCTGCTGGCACAACCCTCCTGGCAGCTGTGGTTGGCCCACCTGCTGGCTACTTGTCCCTCTGGAAATGCTGCCCTGCTGGGAATCCCACCCTCCCGTTCCTGCAGAGCCCCACAGGGAGACTGAGAAAACAGGAAATGCCTCCTGGTCACCGAAAGGGCTATAGGGAAGGCTGGCCCTGACCTGGGGGTGGGCGCCAGGAGAGGGGTGGTCCCTGAGCCCAGCTCTGCTCCACCTTCTCTGGGGTCTCTCCTCACAGTCTCCACCAGGTGGTGGGGGACACAGTGCTCCTTCGTCTACAAGTGGACCAACGACTCCACTTTCTCCCCATACTACAGCCAAGGAAAGCACTCGAAAGAAAAGACCCCGAGGTGGCAGGGGACATGGTGGTCAAGGTGGCTGGACCCCACATGGTGCATGGCTTGAGTCCCAGACCTGGTGGCTTGAAAAACGCTCCAGGTGCATGCACATGTACACCGCAAACCTCAAGAGGAGAAAGGATGAGAAGGGCAGCGGCATAGCCATCCCTCCTCGGGAGTGATTTTTTTTTTTTTTTTCAATTTCTTTCTCTCTCTGGTGAGTACATGAGCTCTATAGCAAAACTGAGAACAAAGAGCGTAAGAGATCCAAAAAGTGACCAGCAGGATGTGGAAGAGCAGGGTCCTACCTGAGCTCCATCTCACTGGAGACCTCCAATGTCCTACCATTTACCTTCCCCGTCTGCGAAATGTGGGTAGAAACCAATTATTTCTCAATAAATCACTGCCCTGAATGGCTAGCTTGTTATTATTTTGTTAGTGACCAGAAGAAGCTCCAGATCTGGTGAAGAATAGCCTACCCATAGGGAGCAGACCGACCGAGTCAGAGTGTGCTGCTAGTCACCATGTCAGCAGCTAGACGTACAGGGGACTGGTTACCTGCCACTGATGTCTGTAGAGAGACGAGGGCCTGGCAGGTGGTGTGCTGGTTAAGGTGCTGGACTTCCACATGGCCGACTGTAGTTCGAGTCCTGGTAACTTGAGAATCGTGCCCGGTGCATGTGTGTGTGCCCGAATAGAGAAGAGACTGCAGCGTGGCCATCTCCCTTGGGGGTGATTTCCTCTCTCTCTGGTGAGCATCCACACCTTATGGCAAAAACCTAAAATAAAAATTTAAAAAAAGAAGACAAGAGGGTGTAAAGATAAATAAAGGTTCATTTGTGTCAGTTATCACATTAGAAAAATATACATTCCATGAAATAGACCTTCTTTGAATAAACAGACAAGTTCAGACCTCGGTTTTACTCTCGCTGGGAGGGCTCTGCCTCCATGGTGAGAAATGTCTCCACAGTTTCAAGAGGAGCCCCTTCCGGTGGGCACATCCCCAGGGCAGGCTCCTCTGTGTTGGTCACTATGACGATGTCCTCCTCCTGAGACACTAGCATACCCGGGTGGGACAAGACAAGCCCATGGGAAGTCTGAACAAATACCTGTTCCTGTCCCTGAGACAGTAATTCGTGGCACCCATTGGTGATGTCAAAAGCCGTGGCTCCCCTTACAGCAACCACGCTGTCCACTTTTCCTTGGCCAGTGTGAGCCTCCACCCCACGTGGGAGCCGGTTTAGGGCCCCCACCTGGCTTCTGAGACCCAGTTCTGTCGCTAACCCCTCAGGGCCTGGCTGAGGCCCTGGCTGGGACACAGTCCTGTGGGCATAGTCTGTTGGCACGATATCCACAGACACCACTTCCTGAAGTGGGGAGGCTACGATCTCAGTTCTCGGGGTGTTGCAAGGGCTGGGCTGCAGGTGGTCCAGGTGGGAGCCGTGCATCCTGCATGGGTCTCCAGCCTCCTTCGCAGACACACCATGCAGTAGGGACTCTGCCCCTCCACCTGGTGACAGAGCGCCGCAGTCTCCCAGGCTCACACTGTCCACAGAGTCCTGGTCGGAAGAATGTTCTAGAGCATTTTCTCTAGGGAACCCTGCCCTCTGTGCTGGGCTCAGCCTGCTGGGTGCCCCTGACCGGGTAGAGGGAACTGGCCCGGCAGACCCACTCCTGGCTTCCAGATCAGCAAATGCCTTAAGCTGCTGGCCTGCATACAGCGTGTGGCTGTCACCGTCGGAGACCAGCAGCGCGTGGCTTTCTTCAGAATGGGGAGAGGCATTCATGCTGAGCCCTGGCACGACACCGATTCAGAAAAACAGGTTAGCAGGTGTGCTGTTATGCCCGACTTACTGTACCCACTCTCCTGAACCAGCGGTCCGAATGCACTCTTGCAAGAAAAACTAGAACACAAGCTCTCCTTGCTAGCTGTACTGAAAAATGTCTTCTAAGACCTGCTTAACAGTGCACTGATTTTCCCCGTTTTCTTCATCCATGATAGAGCGTGTGGACATGCATGTGAGAGCAAAAGAGGAGCGCCCTCCACAGGGTCCGGTCAGCCTACTGTGTCTCGGATATTCACATCTGTGCCAGCATGTCTCCAACTGACCGGGCTGGGGGAGTCAAACCTTCGTCACATGTGAGACCCAGCTTCCAGTGAGCGTGTGTGATCACTACACGCAGAGCCGGCCCCACAGCACGACTCTGTACTAACCCTGAGTGAAGGACCAGTGGCTCTTCACCAGAGGTGACCTGGAGAAACACCTGAGAGGCTTTTTAAAGACTGTCTGGGCAGGACCAGCAGTTAGCGTAATGGCTGGACTCCCATGTAGTCGACCGTGTTTCGAGTCCTGGACCCGGTGGCTTAAAACTCACGCCGGGCGCGTGCGTGCGTGCCCAAGATCCCGAGAGGAGAATGGAGAAGAAGGGATTGCGGCGTGGCCATCCCCCCGTGGGGTGATTTCTCGCTTTCTGTCTCTCTGTCTCTCTGTCTGGCGAGTGCACACACCCTATAGCAAAAAACTCTCAAAAAAAAAAAAAAACACACATAAAAAAGACTGTCTGGGCAGCACGTGATGTGGTGGTTAAGGCAGCTGGATCACATATGGCTGACCATGCAGTTCAAGTCCTAGATCCAAGAGTTTGAAACACACAGTGGGTGTGTGTCCCAAAATCCCAAAGGGAGGGAAAAATGGAGAAGGGATTATGGCATGATGCCCCATGGGAGTGCTGCCTCACTTTCCCTGTGTGTGTATGTGTCTCTCCAGCGAATGCACGCACCCTCCAGAAAAAAGCAAAACAAAACCTCACATCCACACTCACCTGCATCCTGATCTGCTGACCTGGAGCTCTGAGGGGTGAGGCTTAGGCTGCTGTATTTCAAAATAACCTCCCCAGGAGATTGTGACACATACACCCCAACTAAGAGTCATTGTCCTGGGGCCTGACCCTGGTGGCGCAGGCTGCCGAGACTGCTCCACAGTTGGGGAGCACAGTGGGATGGACCACATGGGGGCTAGGGTTTGACTCCTGGTCCACCTGTGCTCCTGTAGCCCCAGTAGCTCAGGTGGCTGAAGCAGGAAGAGCATGAACTGGAGGCTAGTCTGGGCAACAGTAAGAACTTGGCTTAAAAATGGCCAAGGGTATGGGACCAGCAGTTAGTGTAATGGCTATGTCGCTGAACTCCCATATAGCCAACTGTGGTTTGAGTCCTGGACTCGGTGACTTAAACTCACGCCAGGCGCATGTGCGTGCGTGCCCAAGATCCCGAGAGGAGAATGGAGGAAAAGGGATTGCAACATGGCCATTCCCCCTGGGGGGTGATTTCTCGCTTTCTGTCTGTCTCTTTCTGGTGAGCGCACACACCCTATAGCAAAAACCTCTCCCCCCCAAAAAAAATGGCCAGGTGTGGTGGGGCATGTGTGTAGTCCCTGCTGGGAGGCAGAGGCAGGGGGATTAGAACACAAAGAGACTGTGTATTTAAGAAAAAAAAGGGTGGCGTAATGGTTATGTCACTGGACTCCCACATAGTTCACTGTAGTTCGAGTCCTGGACCCAGAGGCTTAAAAACCATGCCGTGTTTGTGTGTGTGTGTGTGTGCCCGAAATCCCAAGGGGAGAATGGAAGAGAAGAGACTGCAGCATGGCTTCCCCCCTGAGAGATGATTTCTCACTTTCTCTCTCTGGCAAGCACACATGCCCTATAGCAAAAGTCTCTCTAAAAAAAAATAAAATCACTGTTTAGAACTGTCAGCACCCTGAGGGTGAGAAACCGCTTTATCCATCACCAAGTCACCAAGTGGCACCTGCACTAGCGGCATTTGCTGGGCCACACTAAGCAAAGAGCAGGCCGCTCAGCTCCCAGTGTGGATGAGAACCGAGGAGACAGACTGGCCGCCCAGGGGGCTATGTTCTGGACAGCGCTGCAGAGCCCTCACTGCGCCCCTGCACACTTCTGTCCCCCAGGGCAGAGTTAGGTAGTTCATTCTAAAATGGAGACTGCTTCTTCTGATCTGCGACCTGAGAAGCAGGAGAGGTATCAGGTGTTCCTGACCAGACTTCAGGAAGCTGTGCAGTTATTTTCAACATGCCACATGTTAAAAGCGTCTGGCTGACAACTTGGCTTAGAGCCAGAATAAAAGTCAGAATGTGTCATGGTTGCAAATGTGAAACCACAGACGGCACGCGGGGCAGTCTCCTGAAAGCCAGGCCCTGGAAGCACATATCCTTGGGACCCATCTCTGCCCAACCTCCTGAGCCCTCCTGCGTACAACCTGCAAACACCTCTTCATTTCAATAAAGAACTTGAGGGAACCAGCAGTTAGCGTAATGGCTATGTCGCTGGACTCCCACGTAGTCGACCGCGGTTCGCGTCTCGGACCCGGTGGCTTAAATCTCACGCCGGGTGCGTGTGCGTGCGTGCCCAAGATCCCGAGAGGAGAATGGAGGAGAAGGGACTGCGGCGTGACCATCCCCCCTGGGGGGTGATTTCTTGCTTTCTGTCTCTATGTCTCTGTCTGTCTGGCGAGCGCACGCGTCCTATAGCGAAAACCTCTCAAAAAAAAAAATAAATAAAGAACTTGAGAAAACCTCGAAACCCTCAAGACTCACGGGGATGAACATGAACGCCAGAACACTGGGGGAAACCTTAGAAACAGGAGGGCCAGAGGGGCACCCAGCCCTGAAAGGTGGCAATCCTGGGCATAGGTGCCAGCTGGGCCTCTGTGCCATGGGGTCCACCCATGAAGGGCATTTTACCATCACTGGCAGCGGGGGCAGAGGAGGGCCTGGGCTTCTCCCGGCCTCTGCTGTCGGCAGCAAGAGACCCACTGGTGTCCTTAGGCAGAGCTCCTCTTCTGGTCCTCTTCGCTGAGGCCAGCCCCTCCTCCATGGCCTGTGAAGAGAAGACCCGGGCAGCTAAGACCTTGCAGAGACAGGCAAACCTGCCCCTCTCCTGCGAGAATGGTACGGTGGACCGGAGAAGCTGAAGCACACTGCGTCAGCCGGAACAGCCGCCACCTGGTGGCTCTGCCACCTCCCAGGCCCACCTCGTTTTCCCTCTTCAGTCTGCTAGCTTCCTCCGGTGACGTGCCCTCTGCCTCATGGCAGAGGCCTGGGGGTGGGGTGCACTTCGTGTGTATTCCTTTTGCCCTCAGGAGCTTTTCTGTGATTCCCAAAGACTCAGCAACCTGAAGAGAAAAGGACCAGTAGAAAGAAGCTTCTCAGGACAGACACAATCTCCACAATCTACATCAGAGCTGGACGGCTGGGTTTAAACCTGTGAAGTTCCTTTGTACAGGGAAGAACCATCTAAACCACAAGAAGATGAAAGTAAATGCAAAGTTAAATGGAACAGCCAAGACAAGGTGGGTCATTATCAAAGCTAGAAGGTTCTGGGACCAGCAGGTGTAATGGTTATTTTACTGGACTCCTACATAGTCGACCATGGTTCGAGTTCCGGACCTGGAGGCTTGAAATCCCAAGAAGAGATTGAGACTGGAGAAGGGATTGCATGTGGCCATCCCACCGGGGGGATGATTTCTTACTTTCTGTCTCTGTCTCTCCAGCAAGTACACGTATCCTATAACAGCCAAAACAAACAAACAAACAAAACAAACAAACAAACAAACAAAAAACACAGAACAAGAAACTCTCTTTAAAAAAAAAACAAAAACTAGGAATCAGTGGATGGTATAATGTTACATTGGTGGGTGCCCATGTAATTGACCACAGTTTGAGTCCTGGACTTGATGATGACAAGGACATTGAAATGACAATTGTGTCTTTGTGTCTCTCTGGTCAAATTAGAAAATGAATAAAGAATGAATGAATGAATGAAAAAATGAATGAATAAAGAACTAAATGATTCTTTAAAAATGTATAAATAAAATTTTAAAAAAGCCACTATAGGTAGGCTAGAAGATGGTGTGGTGAAGGCACTGGACTCCCACACAGACAGCCACAATTCGAGGACTGGACTTGGCAGCTCGCTTTCTCACGTTCCCTTTCTCTATCACTCTCTCTCTGATCAAATTAAAAAATAATAACAAATAAAAATCAATCAATCAATCACTCTTTATTTAAAAAAAGAAAAAAAAAGAAAAGCACTCTGGGCACAGATCCTGGCAGGATGGAGAAATGGAGGAGAAGGGATTACCGCATGACAGCACCCTGTTGGGGGACACTCTCTCCCTCCCCCTCTTCCTACCTTGCACATGTGCCTTCTGGCAAATTTAAAAAAAAGGGCCAGTAGGTGGGATGGCTGTTAAGGCCCTGGACTCCCACATGGCCAACCGTAGTGTGGGCTCCAGACCTCCAGGCTTGTTTTCTCACTTTCCCTCTCTCTCTGTGTCTCTCTGGTGAATTAAAAAATAAGTAAATAAACAACAAATAATTTTAAAAATTAAAACTGGACAGCTGGTGGCGTTGAGGTTAAGACAGCTAGAGGCCACACGACTGACTGTGCGCTTTGGGTCCTGAAGTCAGTAGCTGGAAATCGTGCTGGGTGGGTGTGCACGTGTGCCTGAAAGGGGGAGAGAGGGGGGAGGGGCTGCAGCATGGCCATCTCCCCTGCGGGTGATCTCTCACTTGCTCTCTCTTGTCTCTCTGACAAGTGCACATGCTCTATAGCAAAAACTAAAAGCAAACAAAACATAAATGAAGTTCTGTATTAGCACAGTTTAGCAGAGGAGACTAAAAAGGAATTCAAAAAAATTAAACACCCTCTTTAGTGTACCTCAGTCTTGGTGTTGGTAGCTAATACCATGGTAACCTTTTTTTTTTTAAAGAATTATTTATTCAATTTTTATTTATTCATTCATTTAATTTGACCAGAGACAGAGAGAGAGAGGGAAAGTGAGAAAGCAAGCCCCAGGTTCAAGACTTGAACCGTGGTTGCCCATGTTGGAGTGTCCAGCACCTTAACCACCAAGCCACCGGCTGGCCCCATGGTAACCTTCTTGCCATTATCCCTCCTCTTCAGAATTCTCACTGCTCTCTTCAGGAAAATAGTCCTGGAGCCTAAGTCAGGGAGTCACTAACTGGAACAGATGGTTGACAGTTGGGTGCTCACCAGAACCCGGTCTCCCAGGCTGGTCACTGCAAGGCCACCCTGTGATCAGACCACTGATTCATGCTGCGCTCGGACAGGTTTTCTTCAGAACAAGCAAAACCACATCAGCTTAAAACTAGTTTTGTAAAGAACACATACAGCTAAAGGTAACTGGTGATGACAAGGACATTGAAATGACAATTGTGAGACACCACAAAAGATGACCATTGGCCCCTGTGTAACTCACCCCCAAACCTACATCATAAAGAAAAAGACACCCTGAGGTGTTGATTGTCAGTGAGCTTGGGGATGACAGCATTTCCAATGTTCTTGTTGCTTATCTGCATTTTTGTTTTCTGGAACAAGTGTTTATTGCTTTTATGTTATAGAAAGAAAAGTTCACTTGATGGGAAAGATAAATAGAGGGTGATGGCGGGACCAGCAGTTAGTGTAACGGTTATGTCACTGGACTCCCATGTAGTCGACCGCGGTTCTAGTCCCAGACCTGGTGGCTTAAACTCACGCCGGGCGCGTGTGCGTGCGTGCCCAAGATCCCGAGAGGAGAATGGAGGAGAAGGGATTGCAGCGTGGCCATCCCCCTTGGGGGGTGATTTCTCACTTTCTGTCTCTCTGTCTCTCTCTGTCTGTCTGGTGAGTGCACGTGCCCTATAGCAAAAACCTCTCAAAAAAAAAAAAAAAAAAAAGAGGATGATGGCTAAAAACATTCTCCTCCGTTTGTGGAATCCTTTCTGCTCCCTCTCAGGGCAAACCTCATTTTGCTGTCGGAGACGGTTACCTTGGCATTGTTGATTTCCAGGGGCTCCTGAGAACAAGGGCCAGAACGGAGGAGGTAATCCTGACACATTTTCTTCACCATTTCATGCAACTCTTCAAATTCCTTATACACAGCTGGGAACAAAGGCTTTGCCAGGCGACCATTTTCCACCTTTGTGAAGATAAAGATGACAAAAAAACTTTAAACACGATACATGATATGAAAACAACAGGAAGAGAGGGCCAGCAGGTGGCATGATGTTTAGAGGTGCTGGATCCCCACATAGCCAACCATGGATCGAGTCCTGGACCTGGAGGCTTACTCTCTTCCTTTCCTTTTCTCTCACTCTGGTCAAATTAAAAAATAATAACAGGGACCAGCAGGTAGCATAATGGCTATGTCGCTGGACTCCCATGTAGCTGACAGTGGTTCGAGTCCCAGACCTGGTGGCTTAAACTCACACCAGGCGTGTGTGCGTGTGTGCCCAAGATCCCGAGAGGAGAATGGAGAAGGGACTGTGGTGTGGCCATCCCCTCGGGGAGTGATTTCTCGCTTTCTATCTCTATAGCAAAAACCTCTCAAAAATAAAAAATAATATCAACAAATGGAATTAAATAAATAAATAATTCTAAAAAAAAAAGGAAAGAAAGAGAGAAAGAAAGAAAGAACAATACAGGAAGAAATGTAAACAATGGAAGGACCCATTTCCCAGCCTCTCAGCAGATGGTCTGTGGTGGACATTCCGGCCCTCCCCAGTGAGGCTTGCTGTATGCCAGCCTGTCCCAGGGGCGATGGGGGTGGCCAGAAAACCAACAATGGGGTGCCAATAGGCGGGCTCTGAGAACAGGCAGCTGAGGGTGGAGAGGGGAAGAAGCATAGGCTGTGAGGATGGGCTGGGCCTCAAGCTCTGGCTGGGTGCACTAAGGCCTCCTGGAACTTCACGGGGCAACAGTGGGAGGTGTGGGGCATGGGTGACCTGGTTACATCAACCCAGGGGCTCTGCAGGAGCAGACGGGCCTGGTGGACAGTGCCAGGCAGGGCCCAGGCTGGCCTCTTACCCCACCCACACAGTTACAGCAGTCTGGGAGTGGATGAGCTGCCCACCAGAAACTGGCCACACGGGCACTGCCCTTCTCCAGGCATGCTGGCAGGATCACCAGGCTCACTCTGACCTGGAGGAGGGGAATGATTCAAATGGCTCAGCTCCTTCACAAACAAATTTTGAAAAGGCTTATCTAGACAACTTCGAGCCGTCCCTGTCATTCAGGAACACTAAGAAGACTCACCTTCATCAGAAGAAATTCATACATGGTCACAGCCTGAGCCAGCTGAGGCAGAGCCAACTCCACTAGGTCCTCCGGGTGACACTGCTGAAGGAACTACAGAAAGCAAGTGTGGACATCTGTGAAGGCCCCGCAAAAATTTTCCAGCAGCCCAGTTGTTGCCAACACCAAACGTAAAGACAGAAAGCTTCCCCCAAACTTAGCAGCTAAGCACTCTAAACATCCTGCCTTAGTGTGTCTCACCTGCTTTACAAAGTACTAAGATCAACCAAACTCAGGGTGGTAGGTAGGGAGATGGACTCCTACATGGCCAACTGTGGTTCAAGTCCTAGATCTGGCAGCTTGCTTTTTCACTCTCTCTTTCTTTTTCTCTCATCCTCTCTCACTCTGGTCAAGTTGAAATAAATTAATAAATGGATAAATAAAGGTAAATACAATAATTCTTTAAAAAACCTGACCCAAGCCCCCTGAGATAAACACTGAGACTCGCACTGGGTACCTGGCCCTGGGAGGAGGACGCGGTGATGAGGAGACAAGTGTGTGTCCTCGAGGGCTCACTGGGCAGCACCAGAGACAAAAGTGCAGGGTCAGAGGTAGACATTGCATCCAACCTTGGGCCAGCAGGTGGGATGGAGGGTAAGGCCTGGACACTACATGGTAAACTCCATGGTCTGAGTCCCGGACTCAGCAGCTTGGAAATCATACTAGGTGTGTGTGTGTGTGTGTGTGTGCGTGCCCAAGATCTTGAGAGGAGAATGGAGAAGAGGGGACTGTGAAGTGACCATTGCCCCGGGGAGTGATCTCTCACCTCCCCTTTCTCGCTCCCTGTCATTTCCTCTGGCAAACGCATGTGTCCCACAGCAAAAACTAAACAAGCCGAGCTGGTGCCCATTGCAGGGGACTCCCGGAAAGAGAAGACGGCCTCGGGATCAGCAGTTAGCATAATGGCTATGTCGCTGAACTCCCATGTAGCCAACCATGGTTTGATTCCCGGACCCGGTGGCTTAAACTCACGCTGGGCACGTATGCGTGCATGCCCAGGATCCCAAGAGGAGAATGGAGGAGAAGGGATTGCGGTGTGGCCATCCCCCCGGGGGGTGATTTCTCGCTTTCTGTCTCTCTTTCTGGCAAGCACACATGCCCTATAGCAAAAACTTCTCAAAAAAAAATAAATAAATAAAATAAAAAGACGGCCTCTCTGGCCCTGGCATTCTGCCTGCCTTCCACAGATGCTGACCTCAAAGAGCGCCAAGTAGCCTGGATTGGAATTTTGGATCTGCCCTACCTTGGCAGAGGACCTCGTGCAAGAGATTAGTCTCTCCAGGTTTCGGGGTCACCACCTATTCAGATAGGGTGATGATTATTACGGGACAAGTGAGATGAGCTTGATGCCAGGGTCTGGAGGGGCTGAGCTACCATGAAGAGGGTGCCCCAAAAGTGGTGGCTATGGTTAATGCTGAGGAGTGGACCAGGCCGAGGACTGTCACCTCTCCCGTCTAGAAATCAGACATCCAGGATCGTCCCCACAGAAACCCAGATGGCAGTGAAGCTGATTCAGCAGGTCTGTTTGCTGCTAGGACTCAAGACATCCCATAGTGTCCCAGCAAAGTCTTTAGGAAACCCACTTCCCCTCAGGAGGCCACTCCACGCTGCAGTCTGCAGGCCTGCGCCCCGTGGCAGCCAGCATCTCACTGACCTCCGGCCTTGAGCTTGCGCTTGCTGCATTTCCCACTTCTCTGATACTCACCAGGCAGAGAATATGTTCTAGCCAAAGACCATTTGGATAACTTTAGAGTTCTTCCTTTTTCAAGCGAATCCAGGTAAATTCAAGAAATCTACTTTCAGGGAACTGAAATAAAGACACCCAGGTTCAAAACCAGAAACAAGCTTCTTTTGTTGTTGTTGTTGTTATTGTTGTTGCAGAGCATGTGCTCGTACCAGAGAAAGAAAAACAGAGAAGTGAGAAAACAACCCCCAGGAGAGGGCTGGGGGGATGGCCACATTGCAATCCCTTCTCCTGGGATTTTGGGCATGCATACACATGCTCCCATATGCCTGAAGTATTTTCCAAGCCGCCAGGTCCAGGACTTGAACAGTGCACTTGGCCATAGGGTACCCAGCTACCTTGACCTCTGTGCCACCCAGTTGTGAGGAACATACTTTTAGTTTTGTTTTGTTTTGTTTTGTTTTACTAGACCATAGGTTAGTTTATTTTTAACACCCATCAAGCCATGAATTCATAGGGAATAGGTTTCTCTTTGGCTTCTTTCTTTTGCTGGTCATTTTCCCTCCCATGTTTTAGGAAGCTATCTCTACTCTTAAAATGTTTAATATGCTCAATACGCACATAATTCTCTTGGCAAGAATCTTGCCCTTAACTTGTTTGTTTACAGCAATGCCAACATCATGCTGGGTAACATTGTAGGCTCTTCCAGTTTTGCCATGGTCACATTTGTGGGGCATTCCTTTTTGAACAATACCCATTCCCTTGATGTCGACAATATCACCTTTCTTATAGATTCGCACGTATGTTGCCAAAGGAACCCTTCCATGTTTTCTAAAAGGCCTAGAGGACATGTATAGGGTGCCTCTCCTCTTTTCTTTGTGTTCGTCACTTTGGTTAATTACTGGAAGATGGTGGTTCCAACCAAAAGGAAGCAAAACATGCTTTTTTATATTTTGAAGCTTTCTTTTTTTTTTGGAGAGATTTTCGCTATAGGGTGCATGCACTCGCCAGACAGACAGAGAGAGACATAGAGACAGAAAGCGAGAAATCACCCCCCAGGGGGGATGGTCACGCCGCAATCCCTTCTCCTCCATTCTCCTCTCGGGATTTTGGGCACGTACGCACACGCGCCCAGCGTGAGTTTTAAGCCACCGGGTCCGGGACGCAAACCACAGTTGACTACGTGGGAGCCCAGAGACATAGCCATTATGCTAACTGCTGGTTCCCGAGCTTTCTACAGAGAAATAAAAAACCATTTGCACTGCTTTCTAAACTGCTTCCATGTAAACAAAGGCTATAATTATTTCAAAACTTATAAAGACAGGCAGCTGTGGAGCCACCCTGAAGGCCTGATGGTCATGTGAAATAGGTAAATTTCTGAATTAGTTAGAAATCCCATTCCTGCATTTACTATTTACTCCATTCAATTACTTTTTAGGTCAACTGTTTAGTTCTTCTGGATATTTTATCTGTAAATTCAGAAAGCTAATAGAATTGCCACCTGCCATGCAAAGAACCCGATCTGAAGAGAGGGGCTGTAAGAGGACGCACCTGCTTGAGCCTGGCTTTGTTCCTCAAGGCTCGCTGTCCACCTGCTGCCGCGGGGCCTCCAGCCAGGACCGCTCTGCTCTGCCTGAGGACGGCCACGCTGGGCCCTGCAGGGCTCTCGGCACAGCCATTTCCTCTAGGTCCCGGATGCCTCTCTGAACGCAAAGGAGCTGAATAACTTCTATTTTCTGGTTCAGCTGTCAACACCTCTTCAAATTCTACTGACTGACCATTCTAGATAGTGTTTCACATCCACAAATAAAATAAAAGTCATATTTTATTGCAAACTTTAAAACTCAAAAATGTCAGATCTAAAACAAGCCCTTCTTTGCGTAACTACAGTGAATACATTTTTTTTTTTTGAGAGGTTTTTTGCTATAGGGTGCGTGCGCTCACCAGACAGACAGAGACAGAAAGCGAGAAATCACCCCCCAGGGGGGATGGCCATGCCGCAATCCCTTCTCCATTCTCCTCTCAGGATCTTGGGCGCGCACGCACACGCGCCCGGCGTGAGTTTTACGCCACCAGGTCCGGGAAGTGAACCGCGGTCGACTACATGGGAGTCCAGCGACATAGCCATTACACTAACTGCTGGTCCCCCAGTGAATACATTTTAAACTTTTCCAAAAAGCACCCTTTTGGACAATAGGCAAATATAAGCTAGCAAGCCTGTGTGGGCACCCTGGGACCCTGGGCTGTGGATTAAAAGGAAACAAGAAATTTTGTTGACATGACTATCATCTTGAAAACTGATATGAATTTTGCTTTTAATTCATAATTTACTCACAACTTTTAAAATTTTTTGAGAGATGTTTGCATGCACTTGCCAGAGAGACAGATGTGTGCATGCACTTGCCAGAGAGACAGAGAGACAGAAAGTGAGAAATCAGTCCTCCCAGAGGGAATGATCATGCCACAATCCCTTCCCTTCCAATTCTCCTCCTGGGATTTTGGACACACACACACACACATGCACCCAGTGTGAGTGTTAAACCACCAGGTCCAGTACTTGAACCATGGTGGACTTACATGGGAGTCCAACAATATAACAATTAGGCCATCTGCTGGTTCCAGACTTTTAAATTTTTAAAAAATTATTTAATTTTATTCATTCATTCATTCATTTTAATTTGAACAGAGACACAGAGAGAAAGAGAAGGAAAGTGAGAAAGCAAGCCACCAGGTCCAGGACTTGAACCATGGTCGGCCATGTGGGAGTGTCCAGTGCCTTAACCAACATACCACCTGCTGGCCCCCAGACTTTTTAAAATTTTAGATTATTTTAAATAGTTATAGTGCTGGACTACCACATGGCTGACCACAGTTTGAATCCTGGACCTTGTTTTCTCACTTTTCCTTTCTCTCTCTCATTGATCAAATTAAAAAATAATAAATAAAACTAATTCTTTTAAAAAATTATTTTAAAATTTAATTGATATAATTTTTGGGGGGGTATAATATTTTTGCTATAGGGTGCGTGCACTTGCTGGAGACATAGAAAGAATCAGAGAAAGTGAGAAGTCACCCCCAGGGGGCATGCCATGCCACAATTGCTTCTCCTCTCGGGACTTTAGGTACACACACATATGCACCTGGCACACACACACGCACGAGCTGCCAGGCCTGGGATTCAAACTGCGGTCAACCATGTGGGAGTCCATCACCACAACCACTATACCACTTGGCCCCTCTTTCTTTCTTTTAATTGCTAGAAGGGCCATGCACTTGCCTGAAATGGAAAGACAGAGGCAGTGGGAGAAGGAGGAGGAGAAACGATCCCCAATGGTCATGCTGCAGTCCTTCCTTCTCCATTTCTCCACCATGTCTGGGTTTAGGGCACACACACCTGCCACGTTTTTTTAAGCCATCAGGGCCAGAACTCAAACTGCGGTTGGCCCTGTAGGACCTGGCTCTCTCACCATTAGGCAAGGCAGTGAAAATACCTCTTTATCACTCTCATACCCCCCACATGTACACTCATGTTCACAATAGTACTATTCAAAAGAGCCAAAAGTGGAAGTAACTCAAGGTTCATTGACACAGATGGTTAGGCAAAACGGGTCCATCCACACATGGACTATTATTATTTTAGGTTTTTGCCATGTGCTCTCTGGAGGAGAGAGACAGAGAAAGTAAGAAATTATCTATCCCCCACAGGGGATGGCCACACCACAGTCCTTCCTCTTTCATTCTCTGCTTGGGATTTGGGGCACACAAGCACACATGCCCAGAGTGATTTTCAAGTCTCTGGGTCCAGGACTTGAACTGCAGTCAGTGCCTTAACCAGTCTGCCACCAACTGGCCTCCACAGTGGAATATTATTCAGGCTTAAAAAGGGAAGAAATTCTGGGGCCAGTGGGAGGCATGGTGGTTGAGGCACTGGACTCCCACATGGCCGACTGTGGTTTGAGTCCCAGATCTGGCAGCTTACTTTTTCACTTTCCTTCTCTCTTTCTGTCTCTCTGGTCAAATTAAAATAATGATGATGATGATGATGATGAAGAAAATTAAGTAAAATAATTATTTTTTAAAAAAGAATCTTGTTTTTTAAAAAAGGAAGGAAATTCTGGGACCAGCAGTTAGTGTAATGGCTATGTCGCTGAACTCCCATGTAGTCGACTGCAGTTTGCGTTCTGGACCCGGTGGCCTAAACTCATGCTGGGCGCGTGTGTGTGCGTGCCCAAGATCCCAAGAGGAGAATGAAGGGGAAGGGACTGTGGCATGGCCATGCCCCGTGGGGGGTCAGTTCTCACTTTCTGTTTCTCTGTCTCTCTCTGTCTTTCTGGTGAGCGCACACATCCTATAGCAAAAACCTCTCAAAAGAAAAAAGAAAAGAAAAAAAAAGGAAGTTAATTCTGACACATGCTACAACACGGGAGAACCTGGAGCCAGTGTTCCAAGTGGAATAAGCGAGCACAGAGGCAAACACTCTGCCGCTCCACTCCCAGGAGGCACCCAGGCAGCTCAAATCTGGAGGCAGAAAGTGGAACCGCGGCGGCAGGACACAGGGGGAGACATGGGGCGAGTCCCAGTGCCAGAGTTCTGGCGATGGCTGGTGGTAACAGCAGCACGTTGAGTGCTTTCACTACCAATGACCTGTTCCCTTGAAAGTGGGAAGAGGGCCAGCTGCAGGCTGCGCATCGTACCACAGTCAAGAATTTGGGCAAGGGTGATGTGCTGGGCAACACGGCGAGGACGGGCTCGACAGCTTGTCACCACTGAGGTCCCAGGTGCACTGCCAGCCCTCCCCGACCCTCCCCGACCCTCCCCGACCCTCCGAAATGCTGGCGGCAGCGCTGCCCTTCGTTCTCCTGTGGGACCTAATGAGCCGGAGCTGCGTTCCCATCAAGGGCGCTCAGGAAGGCCGGTGGGGCAGCAGCCGGGATCGGGCCGGGTCCCACCCCCATGGTGACTTTGGTCCAGCTCGAGCCTTCGCCTGAAGCCCCCCTAGACACTGAGAAGGTGAATTTGAGGATGACAGGCAGGAATAAGGACGCTGCGGCCCAGGCAGAGATGTTACCTGCAGGCTGCCCGGTGCTGGCTCTGTCCCTGGGGCACGGCAGGGAAGGTCCCCTTCCTCAGGTGTAGTGGCTGGCAGGGACGGTGCCTGGGAGGCTGGGCCCACACTGGCGCTGGCGTCCAGCTGGCCGTGGCCTGGATTCAGCTTAAAGTGCCGGGCCAGGCCGCCCTTGCCTATGTAGGCCTTTCCGCAGGCCGCACACCCGAACGCCTTGGGCCTCAGCAAGCCGCTGGGGAAGTCGAAGGGCGCCTGCTTTTCCCTCTGCTCTTCCTCCTCTTCCACACTTAGCTCTGAATAGTCATCGGAATCGGACGGATGACCGTCCGCCAGGTCCTCCGTTTTTATGAATTTGTAATCTTTCGCTTTATACTTGGGAGGGCGAGATATCCGTCCAGACCGTGTTTTCACTTTCAAAGATTTTTTCAGCTTCTCCGTATGTTTTGTGAGCAAGTTGGAAGTCACCACATTTGGCGGGCTGGCTGACACGGGTGCCATGGCTGATGGGTCGGAGGCCGAGGAAGGCATCAAGCCGGCTCCTTGTCCATTCTGAGCCGGGGGACCCGGGACTCTCTTCCCAGGGACTGGCTGGAGGGCGGGCAGGGGTCTCTGTACGAACACCTGAGCAGGAGGCTGCTGCCCGGCTCTCACGAGGGGCTGCACCCTGAGCAGCTGTGGGCTGGCCACACCGAGCCCCTCCAGGCTGGAGGCCCTGGGCGGCAGGCACGGTCTCGCTGTTTGGGGCTGGACAGTAGCCAGCGGGGGCATTGGTCCCTCCCGGCCTTGCTGCTCTCCAGACGTTACCTTCACACAAATGGCTTCGAGTTGCTTAAGCACGGAAAGGGCACAAGAAGAGAAAAGAAGCACCATGTGTCAATGTCTGCAGAGCTCCGTTCTCATCCTAAACCCACAACTGGAACTGCTTCCCAGTTGTACGACATACAGGGTCATCAGAGAAGTCATGATGTATTTTTCTAAGCAAAAATGTGTCATGACTTTTTCAACGATCCAATATTTTACACATAAAAGTCTATGGAAAAATCTATTTTACATACAAAAAAACTCTACGTAATGTATCTGCACCGGTTACAGTGGTGTTTTTCAAACCTTTCTGATGCCGGACCACAGGGACACGGTTACATCCCGTAGGGAGCGACCCTTCTGCTGCGGGCAAATGAGGACGCTGACAGACGTGCTGCTGCACTGCAGGCCAGCGCCGTGATGGGGAGCTGCGTGTCAGCCAGAGAAGGCCGGGACACTCGTGTACAACCATCAGACACATGAACCACGGGATGCCCCACAGCTGCAACCTGTTTTCCTCCATCCCCCATTTCTGCATAAAAGAATAAACCTGGAACCTGCTGGACGCCACGGCGTTCTCCACGCAGACGCCCAGTCCGCCCGATCCCCGCTTTCTCTACTCTGTGTGCGCTTTCCGAACACATTCGTTCACTTCCACTCGAGTCCACGTCCCCTCGCCCCAGCCGGGGCGGCAGCCCAGCACATGTGCAGGAATGTGTCCATATAGGAATGAGAAAAGCCGATGGAACTACCTAGCATTTCTACATAAATGCCCTCTGATGTATCTGCTCTGCATCACTTTATACAAATACGTATAAGCTATAAGATGACTTCGTAGCCCACTAAGAAATAGTAATACCCTTCTTTATAGTTTTATCCATGTGCTTTTAACTGGGAGTTCTTTTTTTTTTTTTTTTTTTTAATAATTCTTTGTGTTTTCTTTTTTGGAGAGGTTTTTGCTATAGGGCGCATGTGCCTGCCAGAAAGACAGAGAGAAACAGAGAGACAGAAAGCGAAAAATCATCACCCAGGGGGGATGGCCACGCTGCAATCCCCTGTCCTCCACTCTCCTCTCGGGATCTTGGGCACGCATGTACATGCGCTTGGTGTGAGTTTAAGCCACCAGGTCCAGGACTTGAACCACAGTCGACTACATGGGAGTCCAGCGACATAGCCATTACGCCAACTGCTGGTCCCTATTTCATTTTATTTATTCATTCATTTAATTTGTCCAGAGAGAGAGAGAGAAAGCAAACCACCAGGTCCAAAACTTGGACCATGGTAGGCCATGTCGGAATGTCCAGTGCCCTAACCACCATGCCACCTGCTGGCTCCACCTGGGAGTTCTTAGCACTCTAAATTGGATTCAATTCAATATGGGAGCTCATTTGCAAAAATGAATGAATGAATGAATGAATGAAGTCGTTACTGGGCCAGCCATACGGTGCGGTGGTAACACACTGCTTAAGATGCTAGATCCACGCGGCAATGCCATTTGAATCCCTGGCCTGGTCAGACTAAAGTATGTTGGGCTCCCAGGCCTAAGAGCCAGAGGACTGGAGCAAGGGGACTGAGGCATGGCTGGCCGGAGCCTGTGGGGCGCTCCTCTCTTCCTCACATGCGCATGCATTCTACCATGAATTTTGAAAAGCTCTCAAAGACATACAAATGGCCCACAAACAAATGAAAAACTTTCAGCATCTTTAATTGCTGGGGAGATGCAAATCAAAACCACAATGAGCTATCACCTCACTGCAGTTAGATGTTCATTCTCAAAATGACAAAAAGTAACAAATGCTGGGAGAACAGAGAGAACAGGGCACTCTTTCACTGCTGGCGGAGATGTAAATTAGTAGAGCTATACGGAAACAGTATGGGAATTCCTCGAGAAAATAAAACTAGAACTGCTATATGACCCAGCAATCCCACTCCTAGGCTATGTCCCCAGGAAGAGAAATCGGTATGTCGTAAAGGTATTTGTACCCCATATTTACTGAGCTCTAGTCACAGTAGCCAAGATTTGGAATCAACCTGAATGTCCCTCAATAGATCAATGGATAAAGAAAATGTGGTCTAGATATGTAGTGGATTACTATGCAGCCAGCAAAAACATGAAATCCAGTCATTTGAGATCAAATGGGCAGGCCTGGGGCATATTATATTCAGTGAAATAATCCAGGCACAGAAAGAGAAATACTGTATGTTCTACATGTAAACAGAAAGAAGCGACTTCACTGGGACCAAGATGGCGTGGTGGTTAAGGTGCTGGATTCCCACATGGTCAACTGCGGTTTGAGCCCTAGACCTGATGGTTTGTTTTTTCTCTCTCTCTCTGGTGAGTGCACATGCCCTTTAGCAAATTAAAATAATAATAAATTAATTAATAAAAAAGAAGTAACCTCATAGAAATAGAGATATAAAATGACCAGCAGAAGCTGAGAAGAACAGTGGTGATGGGCAGGGGGAGGAGAAAGGGATATTGATTTTTAAAAATTATTTAATTTTGGGAACCAGCAGTTAGCGTAATGGCTATGTCGCTGGACTCCCACGTAGTCGACCATGTTTCGCGTCCCGGACCCAGTGGCTTAAAAACTCATGCCGGGCACGTGTACGTGCGTGCCCAAGATCCTGAGAGGAGAATGGAGGAGAAGGGATTGTGGCGTGACCATCCCCCTGGGGGGTGATTTCTCACTTTCTGTCTCTATGTCTCTCTCTGTCTGGCGCGCCCTATAGCGAAAACCTCTCCAAAAAAAAAATTATTTAATTTTATTTATTATTATTTTAAATTTACTATAGGACATACGTGCTCACCAAAGAGAGAGAGAGAGAGAGAGAGAGAGAGAGCAAGCAAGCTACCAAGTCCAGGACTTGAAACGTGATTGGCCATGTGGGAGTCTGGTGCCCAACCATCAAGCACCAACTGCTGGTCCCAAGAGGAATGTTGATTCTTGGAAACAAAATTGCAGATGGGTAGAAGGAACAATGTCTAGCGTCATAAAATAGAGTGGGGAGAACTAGCTAACAACTTCCTGTATATGTCACTAATGGCTGAGATGACGAGCATACTAGCAGATAAACCTGCTTTAATCGTTCCGCATTGTATTCATGTGCTGAAAAACCGCATTCTGGGGCTGGCAGGTGGGTGTGGTGGTTAAGGGTGCTGGACTCAAGGGCCAGCAGGTGGCGTGGTGGCTGGGGGCGCTGGACTGCCACACGGCTGACTCCAATTTAGGTCCCGGATCTCTGGTCAGATTTAAATAAGTAGAGTTGAATAAAATAATTTTTTTTGTGTGAGAGGTTTTGGCTATAGGATGTATGCGCTTGCCAGAAAGACAGAAACAGAGAGACAGAAAATGAGAAATCACCCCCCAGGGGTTGGCCACGCTGCAATCCCTTCTCCTCCATTCTCCTCT